AACAGTCTAGCATTCTGTGATGATCACCTTCCCAAAAAGGTCACTGAAGACAAATGGGTGCATAAGCAAATGTGGTGAAGAAAACTGATGGTGCCTGGCTATCAAAAGATATAGCATCTGGGGTCTTGAAGGCTTGAAGATAAACAAGCAGCCATCTAGCTGAGAGGCAACAAAGTCCACATAGAAGAAGCACACCAGCCTGTGTAATCATGACGTGTTGATGGGATCAGGTATCAGGCATCTAAGACCCAGAACAAAATCCTACCCAATGTGAATAGGGGGTAGGGCATGGAGTGGAGACCCAATGCCCATCTGTAGACAACTGGACATCCCCTCACAGAGGGGTCACAGGGAAGAGATGAGCCAGTCAGGGTGAAGTATAGCACCGATGAAACACACAACTTTCCTCTAGTTCTTTGGTGCTCCTTCACCCCACTATCATGACCTCAGTTCAACTTTACAAATCGGATTAGACCAGAGCATGCACACTGCTGCAGATAAGAGCACAACACAGGGAATGCAGGACGGATAAACCCCTCAGGGCCAACAATGAGAGTAGAGATACCAGGAGGATTAGGGGAGGGTGGGGGGAGAAAGGGGGAATCGATCACAAGGATCTGTGTATAACCCCCTCCCAGGGGGATAAATAATGGAAAAATGGGTGAGGGGTGATGGAGAATGATGTAAGATATGAAAAAAAAATGTATAACTTATCAAGGGTTCATGAGGGAGGGTGGAAGCTGGAGGGAGGGGGAAGAAATGGGGAGCTGATATCAGGCTCAAGTGGGAAGAGAATGCTTTGAAAATGATGATGGTGGGTGGAAAGGGGGATTACAGGGATCTACATGTGGCCTCCTCCATGGGGGATGGCCAATGGAAAAGTGGGTGAAGGGAGGCGTTGTACCGTGTGAGATATGACAAAATAATAATTTATAAATTATCAAGGGTTCATGAGGAGAGGGGAGCGAGGAGGGAGGGGGAAAAATGGGGAGCTGATGCCAAGGGCTTAACTTCAGTGGAGAGCAAGTGTTTTGAGAGTGATGAGATGAGGGCAATCAATGTCCAAATGTGCTTGACATAATTGATGTATGTATGGATTGTGATAAGAGTTGTATGAGCCCCCAATAAAATGATTAAAAAGAAAAAGAAAATGATGATGGCGGCATATGTGCAAATGTGCTTGACAACACTGGATGAATGGATGGATTGTGATAACAGATGTAGAGACCCCAATGAAAGTTTGTTTTTTTTTAAAGAAATTGATGGTGGTAGCCATTGTAAAAATTCTGCTTGATGTAACTGAATTATGGATTGTTATAATGTCTCTAAGAGCTCCCAATAAATTGATTAATAAAAAACTAATTTGAAAATAAAATAAAAAGGGAAAGGATTGCCTTTATCATGATCTGCAGCCCAGATGCATCTACTTATGTTTTAGGAACAGCCGTCGGGAAGGGAATGAGAATCAGAAAGCTCTGAAATGGGAAGAAGTTGTGTGCCAGGGTGAGAACCTGGATCAGCGCAGGCAGCCGATGCCCAGCATTAGCCAGGGGCACCAAGTGACAGAGAGATATCACGTAGACCAATATGACCCCAGTTTATTCTAAGACTATTAGGAGTGGTTAGGGTGTAGAGAAAAGAAAAACACCCCAAGAAGGAGATCCTAGAATCTTGAGCATTTTGGTACTCAAGCAATTTATTATAAACAATACAAGTGGGACTATTTATATAGCCCTACAGAGCACACCTGTGAAAAGAACATGCTGGACCTGGCTTCACTGTTTGTTTTCCCAACCCAAAATCTTTTAAGACTCAGAAAAATCAAGAATTTTCCATCTGTTAAACCTTGAGGGCATCATACCGGCATGAGGCAGCAAACTGACAAGGAGGTCTGCAGGGCTGGCCCCATCCTCAAGCTTCATTGACCCCCTCCCCAGAAGAATGCATTACAGAGGACAGCTCTGAAGATACAGCCCAGGGAGAGGGGTGGGGCTGCCCAGACCATAAGAGAGAGAGTGAGAGAGAGAGGACTGCCTCCTGGCCCACCAAGCCCCTAGGGCGACATTCCTGCTTGGAGCAGCCAATGCACAGAGAGGACCATAGGGCTGGCCCCACTATGAGACACAACATCCCCCACTGACCCAGAGGGCTGCGACACAAAAGTGGACTTAGACAATACCTAGTTGAATGAGAGTAGTCGTGTTCCAAGAGACTTTTTAAATTTGCGCTGAAATTTAAATATGTAATTTTCACGTATCACAAAATATTATTCTCTGTCATATCCCCCCTGCCCCCACCCAATTACTTAAACATGTAAAAGCCATTCTTACCTATTTAGCCAACTAACTCCCTAGCTCACTTCTGACTCATAGTGACCCCATAAGACAGGAGAGAAGTACCCCTTTGGGTTTCCAAGAATGTTACTCTGTAGAGGAGTAGAAAGCCACGCCTTTCTCCTGTGGACTGGCTGATGGATTTGAACTGCTGACCTTACAGTTATCAGCCTGGCATCTAAACTGCAACCCCACCAGGCCTCTTGGTGGCTTGGACTTGATAAACCAGTCTCCATTGGTGGCTCCTGATACAATGTTTATCATGTTCCCCTTTTACCATCTTCCTTCCAGCTCCAAAGGTGCAGAACCCCGGTCTGTCCTCCTCCCCCATGGGAGCATGCTGTTGCCAGTTGTCAAGCCAACTCCGAGTCATGGGGACCTGATGTGCGCAGAGAACTGCCCCGTAGGTTTTCAAGGCTTGAGACTTTTCAGGAGCAGATCTGCTGCTAGGTGGGTTTGAACTGCCAATTATTTGTTGTGTTGTCAAGCACTTAACCATATGGATCATGCAGGGACTGCCTCGATAAATAACTCCCAGCAAAAATTAACTGATAACATGGTTGGCTTTTCCACATACTTATCTCGTATCAGTGTGAAACACACAACAGACATTCGAGTATAGTAAGTTCTGAGTTGTTCTCTTAGACATAGGCATCTAATATCAGTGATATAGCCTAGATTTACCTAGATGAGCACGGGTGATGTAGTGGCTTACATATGGGACTACAAATGACTAAATTAACAGTTTGACCCCACCAATTGCACTTTGGGAGAAAGACAACCTTTCGGCTCTCATAGAGATTCACAGCCTCAGAAACTCAAAGTGGCCAGAGTCTGCCCTATTGAATTGCCGTGGGTTGGAATTGACTCAATGCCAGTGGGTGGTGGGTTAGATTTGTATAGTGAACAATCTTTACAACCTCACACAGTGGTCCTAGGCCTATCACTTGTTTTACTCCTTTTTGACCTGATCTATTTCCCTCAGTATCCATGATGCCAACTCTTATTATCTCTACTCTCCAGAGAGAAGCATAGTTTTTAAATACAATTTTAAAAATAGCAGTGGTATTTTAAAATACCATTTTAACTTTTCACTCATGAATTCATTGACTAATTTAGGTCCTAGCCATTATGCTTCTATTTATAATTGTTATCAACAATCATTTTATATGTAACCATGTGGAAACAAGTCCATTTGGAAAAATTAAATGTATACAGGCAAAGTGAACACACATATTTCTTGAGTAGCTCACAGTTCCCCAAGATCTCCAGAAACAATACTTACATAAACTTTCCGAGCCGCTGCCATGTGAATACTTGATATTTTTACTAGCACTCTCAATAGCTTGAACAGCTTCACTGGCCACTAGAGACTAAAAGCAATAGGACATGGGGTTTTAGTTAATATGTAACTTTGAAACGAGACAGAAGAGGTTTCTACAAGAAAGTCATACCTTAATTGACTCAAACAGTATATTTGAGGGAAATATAGATTTATCTAAAAGTAAGTTTAGGAAAATGAACTAAAACAATTATTTTTTATTCATGAAAATTATAATTAGATATCTATAAACATAAACTTTCCTAATGGGCTGAACAATTTAATTTGCTGGAAAAGTGTAATCTTTTCTAGAGCTCATTTATGATGCAAATTCAAGGACAGTGTGCTGGAAAGGCAAAATTCAGAGTTGTTTTGATCCTTGGCAAAATCATCCTCAAACTTTAAACTCAATCTCTACATAAGACATATGTATATAACTGTACACTTGTAGGGAACCCTGGCGCCATAGCAGGTTATGCATTGGGTTGCTAACGGTAAGGTCAGTAGTTCAAATCCAGCATTTGCGCCACAGGACAATGATGCAGCTGTCTGCTCTGCCATAAAGATGTGCTGTTGTTGTTATTGTTAGGTGACAATGGATTGGTTCCCACGAATGGTGACCCGAGCTAGAACAGAAGTAAACACTGCCCAGTCCTGCCCCATTCCCACAATTGCTATGTTGGAGCCCATTCCTTAAGTCATGGTGTCAATCAGTCTTGTTGAAGGCCTTTCTCTTTTCCCTGGCCCTCTCCTTTACCAAACATGACATCCTGTTCCAGGATTGATAGCTCCAGATATCATGTCCAAAGGGCAGGAGATGAAATCTCGCCATCCTTGCCTCCATGGAGCATTCTTGCTGTTCGAGAATTCTGTTTGGCAGCCCATAGTACTTGCTTTTTGTGTGTGTACTTATGATGTTAATTGTGGTAAAAATGTACACAACAAAACATTCTCCAGTTCCACAACTTCTACATGTATGATTCAGTGCCATTGATTAAAACTCTCCATGTTGCACAACCGGTATTGATATCCTTTCCCAAATTATCCCATCACCATTAACATAAACTTGATGCCCTTTAAACAAAAACTCTTCCTCCTTCACCCATGGTCACCATAGGTCAAGTTCCATCTTTCTTTCTTTCTTTCAAGTAGTTTTTGATATAATATTCACATTTTATAGTCTTCCATAGTTAAATTGCTTTTTAAAAGACTTGTATATACATCCTCACAATCAGTTCTAATGCTCCCTCCCTGCCCCACATTCAGTTGCTCCCCAATTCCCCTTACACTGTCCATCCTCCTCCTCCCCCCAATCCCGATAAACCATTGCATCAGTTATTATCATATGTGTCAACTCCTTCTGTGCTTCATTAACTGGGAAACCTAACAGAAACAACAAAGAACAAAAGCAAAATGAACAGAAAGAAGAAAATAATAATAATATAAAGATAAGCATAAAGAGGAAGTTAAAGACTACCAACAATATTTTAAAAGCCAGAAAAGAAATTTATGTTGTAGAACAAGCGAGAAATATTTGAGCCTCAAACACATTCAGGTTGGGTCAAGAGGAAGGTCAACTGACCAAGTATCATATTATGCCTTGGTTTGATCCACCACAATCAAGTTTACAATACTCTCTGTCTGATAGTAAAGCTGTTCAATACCCTTATCGGGGTATTGATAAGAAGGGATCTTCCAGAGGCCTCCCAATGTCCTTCATGGCCTTCTACAAAATGTGTGTTCACAATTTAAGTTCTGATACTGTTCCCTTCATCATATTTGGATTCTGTTATCATCATCTTTGGATCACACAGGCTGGTGTGCTTCTTCTATGTCGGCTTATGGCCTCATTTGAATATAGCCTTTAAGACCCCAGGCACTATTCCAATCACTAGCTGGACACCATCGGCTTTTTTCCTCACACTTTGCTGTAGCACCCTTAGTTTCAGTGACCTCTTCCTAAAGGCAGATATTGAGCAGGGCCACGTGATAAGAACGAACTCTTCTTGGATGAAAGCTAGAGTTCTATGGGAGCTCAGAATCCATCTGCTTGGCCACAGGTTATGAATGACTGGAAAATCAGTCACAACAACAATCACAACAAAATACAAAGACAAACAATCCCTAAAATAACTAAAAACAAAAGAAACAAAAGGAAAATTAGTCAAAGATCCCCCTGAGGTATACGGCAATTAAACTGATAACATCAATAATCTATCCAATGGCATAGAATTTAAAGCACAGTAAATTCATGAGTTTATGCAAATATAATCCAACTGCAAGCTGGAATCCATGAATTGTTGCTTTGTACAGATTAAAATCTTAATTGATTGAGCTCTGTTTACATTGCATATGGGGAATGATGCTAGAGTGCAGATCCTTGCCTCTCAGATTAAAACTTGTCATATTAATGCAAGCGGAGCACTGAAATACTAAAGATATGGTGGTGCTGGGGCCCTTTTATCCTTGAACACCCACTCATCCCAGGGTCCCAACCAAGTTCCAATGGCTGTCATTCCCAGAGCCTCGGGGCGGCCATCCTTTGTTTCCTCTCACATCCGCCTATTTCAGTTCGAAGTCCAAGGATACAGATGGATTTTAGGTAGGGCCCAGGTAGTTGAGTCGGGTTTGAACATCAAGTCATTCTGGTGTGGCCCCATGACACCTTTAAGATTCTCTGCCAGCACCACAATTCAAATGAATCAATCCTCCTTCGATCTTCCTTATGCATCGTCCAACTTTCACATGAGGCAACAGTAGATACCATGGCTTGAATCAAGTGTATCTTAGTCTTCCAGGTAACATCCTTGCTTTTCAACACTTTAAAAAGATCGTCTGCAGCAGATTTACCCAATGCAATGCTTCATTTGATCTCTTGACTGCTGCTTCCATGAGCATTGATTGTGGATCCAAGCAAGATTAAATCATTGACAACTTCGATATTTTTCCCCCATTTATCATAATATGACTCAATGGTCCAGTTGTAAGGATTCTGGTCTTCTTTTCGGTTGTAATCCATACTGAAGATTGTAGTCCTTGATCTCCATCAGCAAGTGCTTCAAGTCCTCCTCACTTTCAGCAACCAAGTAATGTCATCTGTTACCATGGGTTGTTAATAAGCCTTCCTTCAAGACCATTAGTAGATTTCTTGCAACTATTTCTTCTCATTTGAGTCAAGCCTTGTCAGCAAATGAAGGTCCCAAAGGCTCCACTTCCAGCCTGGCTATCAAAAGATATAGTGTCCGGGGCCTTAAAGACTTGAAGGTAAAGAAGTGGCCATCTAGCTCAGAAGCAACAAAGCCCCCATGGAAGAAGCACTCCAGCCTATGTGATCATGAGGTGTCAAAGGGATGAGGTATCAGGCATCAAAGAACAAAAAAAATCATATCGTGAATGAGGGGAAGTTCAGAGTGGGGACCCAAAGCCCATCTGTAGGCAACTGGACATCCCCTTATGGAAGGGTCGCAGGGAGGAGACGAGCCAGTCAGGGTGCAGTGTAGAACGATGAAAAATACAACTTTCCTCTAGTTACTAAATGCTTCCTTCCCCCTGCCCCTGCCCCCACCACCACTATCATGATCCCAATTCTACCTTACAAATCTGGCTGGACCAGAGGGTGTACACTGGTACAGATAGAAACTGGAAACACAGGGAATCCAGGGTGGATGATCCCTTCAGGGCCAGTGGTGAGAGTGGCAATACTGGGAGGCTGGAGGGAGGGTGGGGTAGAAAGGGGAAGCCGATTACAGGGATCTACATATAACCTCCCTGGGGGACGGACAACAGAAAAATGGGTGAAGGGAGATGTCAGACAGTGTATGATATGACAAAATAATTTATAAATTATCAAGGGTTCATGAGGGAGTAGGGAGCAGGGAGAGGGGAACTGAAGAGCTGATGCCAAGGGCTTACGTGGATCGCAAATGTTTTGAGAATGATGAGGGTAACGAATGTACAAATGTGCTTTATATAATTGATGTATATATGGATGGTGATAAGAGTTGTATGAGCCCCCAATAAAATGATTAAAACAACAAACAAAAGCTCCTCTCCCATTCATTACTCCATTCATGTCATTATAGTGTACTTTGAGAAGACAGTTCTTAGTCATATTTTGTTTTTATTTTTTTCCATTTTATTGGGAGCTCTTACAGATATTATCCATAGTTCAATTAGATCAAGCATGATTGTACAATGGCTGCCACCATCATTTACAAAACATTTTCTTTCTTCTTGCACTCGTTGATATCAGCTCCCTTTTACCCCTGGCTTCCCCTACCCCATAGGAACCCTCGCTATTATATTAAATATTATTATTATTATTCCTTTTTTTTGCTGTATCTTACAGCACCCAATGTATCCATTCACCTCTTATTCTGTTATTCGGTCATATTTTGGATGCCTTCTGACCTGAGGCACTACCTCTGGCAACTTTCTGCTTCTATTCTGTAGCCCTTCAGTATCTGACAGTGTTTCAGTGGTTTGCAGAAGTCTTTCAGCGGTTACTTCTCCAAAGTAGACAGCAGATTCCTTCTTTGTAGTCTCTTCTTAGTCTGGAAGCTCCGCTGAACCCTGTTCACTTTGAGTGACCCTGCTGGCATTTGAAACGGCAGTGACATAGCTTCCAGCATCATAGCAACACACAGCCACCCCTGTATGACACACTGACAGACATGTGGTGGCCCCATGTATTAGTAGTACTAACGGCACTGTAAGTTCCCTCATGCTATTGCTCACTTGCAGCCTGTCCACTATTTGACTGAAAGTTGAGCCACCGGGGTGGCTGAGAGAGTTAAGGGTGACTCAGGACTGTGGTCTCAAAAGTCCTCCCAGTCTTTATCAAACCAGCGAACAAACAAATCCCCTACTACCACTGAGTAGATTTCAACTTGTAGTAATTCTGTAGGAAGACAGAGTAGAACTACTCTGTTGGGTTTTGGAGGCTGTGAATCTTGGTGGGCGCAGGAGTTCTCCTCTTTCTCTCTTGGAATGGCTGGTGGGTTCAAACTGCTGACCTTGCCGTTAGCAACCCAACTCATAAGTCACCAGGGCTCCTATGAGACCAGTCAACCTGGGTTTTGTTTTGTTTTTAAAAATATTTTGAGTTTTGTTTCATTTTTTCTCCTAGTCTATCCAGGAGTTAGGGTTGGGAGGAGGCTTTGCTTTTAATAACTTTACCACAACAAATGGAGAAAGTCCTTGGAGAAAACGACTTAGCACTTACCAGCTCCTGGTGGTCTTTGCTTCTGCTTCTATTATAGGAATATGGAAACAATATCTGTTGGGAGTATGAATGCATCGTTATGTAAGCTTTAATGTGGTCCTTATTTTTTCTCAAGAAATCAGCCACTGCCTTCACTTCTGGTTCGGACTCAGGGTAGGGGCCACAGTAGGTTTCCGAGCATGAATAACTTGATGCGCCTTCCTCTGTGGGTAAAATGGATAAAACAGAATGATGGGTTCATGCACATAAGATTGTGATGGAGTCTTTCTCTGCTAGTGTAGTTTTCTAATGTTTCTGGTGCAATATTTTAAAGTAAGTGTATGACCCCTGTCTACAACCTCAATGACCCTTACTGCTATCGAGTCCATTCCCATTCATAGCCACCTTGTAGGACAAGGTAGATCTGCCCCTGTGGGTTCCTGAGACTGTAGCACTTCATGGCAGTAGAAAGCCTCATCCTTGCCATGTGCATGGCAACCCTGTGTGTGTTGTCAATGGCAGGTTTTTCTGAAGCAGATTGTGTTAGCCCAGGTAGACTAGAGAAACAATTCCAGAGACACTCATACATGTATAAGAAAGAGTTTTATATACAAGAGGAATTGTATATTGAGAAAACATCCCAGCCCAGTCCAGTTCAAATCTGTAAGTCCAAGATTCACCTGTATGTCCAATACCAATCCATAAATTCCTCATCAGGCTCACGCAACATATGCAATGATCCCCAGTGCAAGAAGATCACAGGCCAGTGGGTGGAAAGTCTTCTAGATCCAGTGGTGGTGCAAGCATCTGGCAGGGGTCTCCACTTGACTCCTTCAGCTCCAGGGCTCTAGTATAGCTCCATGTGACTTGTTAACAGAAAAGTCTCACCTGGAGTGAGCCATCTATTATTTCCTTATCACCTCCAAATGTGGTCACTAATCTGCAACCCGATTGACAGGCTAAATGCATTGATACTTCTCCAGTTTTCTTTGTTCACCGTCCACCCTTCAGATGCATATGAAGCAATGGAAAACACCAGGACTTGGACCAGGAGCACCTTCGTCCTCAAAGTAACATCCTTGCTTTTCAATACTCTAAAGAGGTCGTGTGCAGCAGATTTATCTAATACAACCCATCTTTGATCTCTTGACTGCTGCTTCCATGAGCATCGATTGTGGATTCAAGCAAGACAAAAATTCTTGACAGCTTCAACCTTTTCTCCATCTATCATGATTTTACCTACTGGTCCAGTTGTGAGGATTTGGATATTCTTTACATTGAGCTGTAATCCATCCTGAAGGCCGAAATCCTTGATCTTCCTCATCAAGGGCTTCAAGTTCTCTTCACTTTCCCCAAGCAAGGTTGTGTCATCTGCATATCACAAGTTGCAATAAGTCTTCCTCCAATCCCAATGCTGCATTCTTCTTCATGTAATACAGCTTCGCCGATTATTTGCTCAGCAGATTGAACAAGTATATTGAGGGTATATAACCCTGATGCACACCTCTCCTGATTTTAAACCATGCAGTATTACCTTGTTCTGTGTTAACAGTGTACTGTTGCAACCATTGTTAGATGATCTTCAGCAAAATTTTACTTGCATGTGACATCAAGCATGATTTTTTTTTTTTAGTCTGAGCATTCTGCTGGGTCACCTTTCTCCGGAATGGGCACAAATATGGATGTATTCCAGTCAGTTGGTCAAATAACTTTCTTCCAAATTTCTGACATAGATGAGTAAGTGCTTCCAGTGCTTTCTTGGCTCATTGAAACATTTCAATTGGTATTCCATTAATCCCTGGAGTCTTATTTTTGGCTAATGCATTAACTGCACTTTGAACTTCTTCCTTCAGTACCATTGGTTCTTGCTCATATGCTATCTCTTGAAATGGTGGAAAGTCAACTAGTTTTATTTTTGGATAAAGTGACTCTGTGTATTCTTGCCATCTTCTCTTGATGCATCCGGTGTCATTAATATTTTGCCTGTAGAATCTGTCAATATTGCAACTCTAGGCTTGAGTTTTTCCTTCAGTTCTTTCAGTTTCAGATATGCTGGGCATGTTTTCCCTTTTGGTTTCCTAATTCTTGGTCTTTTCACACTTCAATATAACATTTGACTGTGTCTTCTTGAGCTGCCCTTTGAAATTTACTATTCAGCACTTTGACTTCCTCATTTCTTCCATTTGCTTTAGTTGCTTTACAATTAAGAGCAAGTTTCAGGGTCTCTTCTGACATCTACTTTGATCTTTTCTTTCTTTCCTGTCTTTTTAATGAGCTTTTGCTTTCTTCATGAATGATGTTCACGATGTCCTCCCACAGTTTATCAGGTCTTCTGTCATTGGTATTCAATGCATCAGATCTGTTCTTGAATTGTTCCCTAAATTCAGGTGGGATAGACTCAAGGTGGTATTTTGGCTCTGGGTGACTTGTTTTAATTTTCATTAGCTTCATCCCAAACTTACATATGAGCAATTGATGGTCTGCTCTATCTTCAGCCCCTTTCCTGGTTTTAGCTTCTGATATTGAGCTTCGCCATGGTCTCTTCTGTGGGTAGTCAGTTTGATTTCTGTGTACTTCATCTGGAGAAGTCAATGTGTATGGTACCTTTTGTGTTGTTGAAAAAAGTATTTGCTATGATCAAGTGGTTGGTTTTGCAAAATCCTATCACATAATCTTCAGCTTTGTTTCTACCACCAAGTCCATATTTTCCAACAACTGTTCCTTCCTCTTCGTTTCCAACATTTACATTCCAACCGCCAATAATTATCAATGCATCATGATTGCATATTTGATTAATTTTTAACTGAGTTGTTGGTACAATTCTTCAATGTCTTCATTATGAGCTTTTGTGGGTGGTGCAGCAAACCGAATAATAGTTGTATTGATTGGGTTTCCTTGAAGGCTGATAGATAAAGTCCTTTCACAGACAGCATTGTACTTCATGATTGATTTTGCAACATCCTTTTGGACCGTGAACGCCACACCCTTCTTCTTGATTGCATTGTTCCAGGCATAGTAAATCAGATGACTTTCTGATTCAGAATGGCCAGTACCAGTCCATTTCAGCTCCCCAATGCCAAGAATGCCAATATTTATGCATTCCATTTCCTTTGTGACGACTTCCAATTTTCCTAGATTCATACTTTGCACCTTTCAAGTTCCAGCCATTCACAGATGTATGCAGCTGTTTCTCCTTATCTTGAGTCGTCCTCCACCAGCAAATGAAGATTCCCAAAGGCTCTACTCTCGCAGAGCTTACCTGTTCCCATGGTCGACTCCATCGCTAAATACCTCACAGGCTGGTTTACTAAGTTACAAGGTTTAGGCCTACAGTCTCACCTTCAATTGGTACAATAGGAGTTCATAGAGATAATGTTCTACATCATAGTTCGATGAGAGTCTGGGCCCTCAGAAACTTGTGAATAGCCATCTAAGATACAACAATTCATCTCTCATTGTTTGGAGCAAAAGTGAAAGAAGGAAACTTATGACGGAAAGAAAAAGCATGTCTATAAGACTAATAGTCTCTCTCCAATCACAGGTTCCCAAATTTATTTGGATGACTGCCTGCCTTTTCAGAAACAAACAAACAAACAAACAAAACCCATTACTCAATACCCCATTGTGAATTTAAAATGTTTGCACTAGACTCCATCACCTAGGGTAGAGTGTAGGTATCTGCTGTTGCACCCCCTTAATTCATTCTGGTCCTCTCCAAATGGCGCTGTCACCTACTTTGGGGAATTCTGGTGAAAAGGACCTCACCTATCAAGACCAGGAGAACTAGGTAGTGTCTGGCTACCATACTACAAAGTGTTCCAAATCAGGGCCAGAATAGATGAGCCTGGATGCAATGGGATAAAAAGTAGACTAAGAATCAAATTTCTTTTAAAAGGCCAGACTTATTGGACCAGTAGAGACTAGAATAATCCCCAAGACTATCACCTGGCATACGCTTTAAAATTGGAACTCAACCCACTCCCAGAGATCACCTTTCAGCCAAATGATCGATATATTTATAACATCAATATTTTGCCACTGAGTGTTTTTCTCCTCTAAATAATCGTTGAAATGAAATCAAACATTTACCCAGGACCAAAGATGACAAATAAAGGAGGGATTTGGGGATGGGGAGCTAGATACATGGAACCCGAATAACTAGGATGGAAATAATGAGAAATCTAAGGCATTGGGAAAAACAAAAGTACTGGGGAAATGTAACCAATAACATATTTATAAAATATAACCAAATTTCTCAATAGGAGGCTAATATATTGTGTAAATTTTTACCAAAAACACATACAGCGTAATATTTCTAGGGAAAAGTATGCGAGTTTCAATGAACTTGGAGTTAGTCAGCTGGAGTTGATATGCCAGCTCAGCCACTATATACGCCCTTGGCAAGTGATTTCACCTTCGAAGTACCTCTTTGCCCACCTATAAAGCATAGAAATGAAACCTAGCAGACGAGATGGGGAAACTCCCCGGCACTTGTGAATTGCTAGCTATATTATTCAGATCTCTTGACCTTGGCTGCTTCTCTGACCCCTTACTCAGTTTTCACTGGCTGCATCACCTTGGGTTCCTGTGAGCACGTTGATTTTTAAGTACAGCTGAAGGAAGCCTGTTGTGCCCATTCTGACCCAAAGGCACCCTATTACGTCTAAGCTCTACCTGATGTGCCATCTTCATGGAAGACAGCTGCCATATCTTTTTTCCCATGGAGTGAGTGGCTGGTGGGGTTGACACACTGACTTTTGGATTAGCAGCGAAGTGCTGTAGCCACTGCTTCACTAGGACTCCTCCCCTCTGGGAATGGGAATCCTACTTCTGGAATGTGGCTCTGTGCCACAGAGAACAGCGCTTAGCTTTGGCATCCCTCATAGACACCTTTTAAAGAAGGGATTGTGACGAGGTGGATGGAATCGTGACCCTCCAAAGATACGTTGGAGCAGTAACCTTCGACAGAATGTTACATGTGTATAAATGAGAATTATCCTTATTATTAAGACTCATCACACTTGATTAGCAGTCCAGCGCTTAACGGTTATACCAGCAGTGGAAGCAAAAGGAAAATGGTTTCAAACACTATGGCACTAAACACTTACATATGTGATGAAAAACTAGAGGTACCACCACACTCTTGTCTTTGATATCTTAATGGTATGTGTTATTTGTTTATTGAATTAGACTCTCAATATTAACTTCCTTATTATTCTAGGACCATAGAATTTTGAAGCAAGATGTGACCTTCAGTAACTGACAGTCCTTATTTTAAAGATGAGGGAATAGCTGTTAGGATAGATGAAGTGATTAGTAGACTCTGGTATTGGCAAAGAACATTGAAAACACCAGGGACTTCCAGAATAACAAATCAATCTGTCTTTGAAGAAGTACATCCAAAATGGTCCTTAGAAGCTAGGATGGTGAGAGTTCGTCTCACATCCGTTAGACATGTTATCAGGAAAGAAGAGTTCCTGAAGGAAATCATGCTTGGTAAAGGACCAGTGAGCCAGACTTAACCTTTGTTAAGTCCCTTAACAAGATGGATTGACATCATGACTGTAACAATGGCTCAACCATCACAATAAGGGTAGGACTTGGCAGTGTTTCAATCTGCTCTGTGTAAGACCACTATGAGTGGGAACTGACTTGGTGTATAACAACAACAGCCAACACTTCCTCATTGCATAGACCTACACATTTTATAATTTCAATTAATTTCTGATTCAGATACCGCCACCTCCACCAGTTGCTGTCGACTCAACTCCAATTAATGGAGTGTCCCTGTGTGTCAGAACTGTGCTCCACGGGGCTTTCAATTGCTGATATTTGGGAAGTTGATCACTGATAGCGGCAGGGAGTTGGGTGTTTTGAATTCCTCTAAGAATGTAACAACATACCACACCAGTGTTTGGAAGCAAAGTTCCGGTTGAGATCTGTTCCGATGCAAGCATTGTCCTTGTGAAAAGATCGGTTCTTTCTCCACATTCGTTTCTGAATCAACAAAACACAAAAAGATATCCGAAACGGTCAAACCTGTGATACGCGGGAATACATAAGGTGCTTTTTAAAAGACCAGGTAGCCTGGTTGGATTTCTTTCCCTCAACCCCATTCCCTCCTTCACGGTATTTTGTCACTTATTTCACATTGTTACTTTCTCACAGCCTCTGTTTCTATGTAGGTCTCAATCCGTCCAAACATCTTGTCTTTGACAGTGGTGAGCCCTGCAAAGCCACAGAGGGTTAAAGAAATGTGCCCAGCATTCAGTGTTCTAAGCATCCTGGATAGCGCAGTGGCTAAGAGCTTGGCTGCTAATCAACACATTGGTAGTTTGAATCCACCAATCCCTCCCAAGGAAAAAGATGTGGCAGTTTGCTTCCTTAAAGAGGATGACCTTGGGAACTCTCCAAGCCCGCTATCCTATACTGTTGCTCCGTGTCAAAATCAACTCAACGGCAGTGGGTTTTCTTTTAGTTGTTTAGTGTTTTTGTTTTGTTTTTAATACCTGACGCAGAAGGACCCCTGGAGGTATAGTGTGTAAGAGATTGGCTGCAAACCCAAAACTTGGTGGTTTGAACTTGCCATCTATTCTGTGGGAGAATGAGAAGGTGGTCTGCTTCCATAAAAATACAGAGGGGGAACAGATTACAAGGTCTACATATAACCTCCTCCCCGTGGGACGGACAGCGGAGAAGTGGGTGAGGGAGGCGTTGGATGGTGTGAGATATGACAAAATAATAATAATTTACAAATTATCAAGGGTTCAGGGGAGAGAGGGCAGAGGAGAGGTAGGGGGGAAATGAGGAACTGATGTCAAGGGCTCAGGTGGAGAACAGGTGTTTTGAGAATGATGATGGCAACATATGTATGAATGTGCTGGACACAATTGATATATGTATGGATTGTGATAAGAGTTGTATGAGCCCCTAATAAAATGATTTTTTTTTTAAAAAAAGAGGCACCCAGGAAAGGAACAGGTGGTCCTGGGATAGCTTGGGTAGTTGGAATAAAAATCTGGAATAGCAATTCCTTTTTGTGTTAATTTTGAAACATTATCCTGTTGAATAAATCATTTTACTTTCATTGTAAAAACTACAGTCTTGGAAAACCTACAGGGCAGTTATACTTTGCCCAATCAGGCCACCATGAATTGAAATCAACTCAACAACAATGGTTTTTTTAATAGATAAACCTGGGATGATAATCCCAATGAGTTTGCTACGTGAATGGGGTGCTTTTCATGTGCTTTGAATGTGTCTCTTTAGAGACATAAAAGGAGCAGAAGAAGCGGCAAGCAACAAGCGAGTAGAGATGGGGCATATGGCATACTAAATGAACATGTCACCAAGGAGCCAAGGAATAGAGCTGGGGAGACCTGGACCTTCCCCGAGACCCAACAAAGGAAGAAAGCCTTCCCTGGGAAATAGCACCCCGATTGCAGCCTTCTAGCCCCCTACATTGTGAGAGAACAAGTGTTTATTTCCGAAAGCCCCCACTTGGGCCTTTCTGTTCAAAGCAGCACTAGATAACTAACTAGGTAGCAAGTTAGACAGCTTCTCGTTTAGGTTTGCTTCAGTTAAAGTGACCATGTACCTGTATCCTTCTGAGCTCCTTCTAAGAAAAGGGGCACCATCTTCATGAATGTCGGCTCTGATGAAAACCCTGAGTTCCAGGTTTCAGTACTTGCTTTTAATTCAATCTCACGTGAGAGGTGAAGATACCTTTACCCAGACTGTTCCTTTAATTGTATTGATTGACTCTGATTTTTAAACTTCACGCAAATTCTCAATTTGCATCCGTGGTGTAAACTGGGAGGTTTGACGATATAAACCGTTGCACAGATGTTTTAATTTGGGGGTGGGGCTGATGAGACAACCCAACATCATCTGCAGTTTCTTAGTAACCGCTGCCCTGAGAATAATAGGTTCTCAAACTTCAGGAATCAGTTGGTGGAATCACATGCAAAGTATAGTTGGAGGTTGGGAAAATGTGAAGGGTGCCTGAATTCCATGGATTCAGGTGAAGTCATATGTTCCACTATGGTTAAAATAAAATTTAAAAATTAAGCTAATATAAATGGATGGAAATGAATTTAATATGCCTTTGGAAAATTGGAGCAATATTTCTGACTAAAAAGCCAAAAATGCTCCCCCCCCCAAAGAAAAGTCTTTCAGTTTTAAATACCCCCATCATTACTAGCAATCATACATGGTCACAGAAACAGGGTCAGAAGGCTGTTGCCAGGTGCCTTCAGGTTGGCTCGAACTCATAACCACCCTATGTGCAAAACAACTCAACACTCCTGCTCCTGGGCCATCCTCACAATTGCTGGTACGTTTGCGCCCTTTGTTACAACCACTGTGCCAACTCAGCCAGGGCCTGCCTTTGCTTTGCTGCCCTACTTTACCATAAGGAGTCTTGGTGGCATAACGGGTTGTGTTGGGCTGCTGACCCACCAGGCGCTGCCTAAGGAAGAAAGATAATAGTTTCTCCTCTTGTCAAGACTTACGCGCTCACAAACCAACAGGGCAGTTCTACTCTATCCTACCGGTTGCTGAGAGTTGGAATTGACTTGATAGCAATGTTTTTTTCTCCCCCCTCTACTTTACCAAACATATATTTCTAGGGTCAGAATAGTGTTTATGTATTCATTTGTGAGCATGCAACATTTTCTTTAAGAACAATTCAGATAATTGCTGACTCACCTTTAACTATATTCTAGTCTGGTCTTTGAAGTTTCAATTGCTGAAACTAACCACACAAGGATAATTCTTCAATAGTGCTGCCTGCCCAAGGTAGACATCTAATAAAATCGTTTTGATTCTCTTGGGATCCAGATTTCTGGGGTCACCTACACAGATTGCCCTCAGGCAGCCTCTGGAACCTTGAAGAACACCTTCCCTAGAATCTCCTTCGGGTCGAGCAATATCTTAGTAAGCTGCTTCAGGGAGATGTTTGGCTCTTTATGCACAGCCAGCTTCCAGAAGATGAATTGCACCTGTTTCTAGAATCCAAATAGCAATTTTTAGAGGACAGAGGAATACATCAACCTGGATCAAGGCTGTTTTAGGATGTCCTTGGCGACTAACTCTCTAATTCGTTCTGTGCTTTGATACTCTCTTAAGAAATGAAAGTAATAATGACTTAGTATAGAACCTAGTTCGCTCTTCTCCTTGGAAGCCTCTTACTGCTGTATTCTGTGACCAGAAGAATACCTACTCACAGTAAATATATTTTGCCATACCAATTGTTCAGTGTTTCTCTGAAAATTTAAGTTCTTGACATGCTTATTACTAATGAAGTTAGATTATTGTGTGACAACGCTGACGGTCAGGAAGCCAAGCTTTTCTGTTCAGAGTTTAAGGGACCAATATGATCTTGGAGTGAAAGTTTCGGGGGGCCACTTATTTTCAAACTTCATGGCTCCAGCAATTTGGATTCCTCAGAACTAAAAACTCTGCTCCTCAATGGGCGTATCGATATATAAAGATGACCATTTATTGAACACCAACTATGTGCGAGGCACGGTGCTAGCTATTTCTCATTTCCTCCCACCTACAAGATTTCAGTTACCATATCATTGTCACCTAGATAATTTAAAAAACAATTTTATTGGTACTTCTTCCACAGATGATACAATTCAATAGTTCAATCATATCAAGAAGACTTGTATAATCATCACCACAATCAATTTTAGAATATTTTTTCTTCCTTGTACTCATTGCTATTAGTATAATTATTTTTTTAATTTGGCAAAAATATACACAACAACATATTCTACAATTCAACAACTTCTACATGTATAATTCAGTGTCATTGATTATACTCTTTGTATTGTACAACCTAGATAATATTTTTCACCAACTTCTTTCACCACTTCCCTCTGTTCTGAACAAATTACCTACTCCATTAAATAATCCCTGTATCCTTTAATGTATAATCACTCCAATCATTCCCTACTGTGCAAACCTACTTAAGTGAGTTTTTCAAAATATGTACATGATGCTTTCATATGTCCCATGTTAAATTATAAACAGCTGTACTTCCTATTGGAGGAGCCCTGGAGACACCGTGAGCTACTCGTTGGGTGGCTAACCCATCAGCAGCAGTTAAACCCACCAGCTACTTTGAGGGAGAAAGACAGGCTTTTTGTTCTAAAGACGTACAGTCTTGGAAACCCCAGCGGCTGCCCTACTCTGCTGCCCAGTGGGGATGCTCTGAGCTGGCATCAATTTGATGCCAGTGTGTTTGGTTTGCTTCGGGTCCGTCCTCTTTAGTGAATAATTTTACATGACTCCTTTTCCCGATTGGCTAGAAATAATAATCATTTTCCAACATAATCTGTGTGTTCAGGACTAAGTTAGACAATGTAAAGATTTAAATGTATGTATCAGTCAGAATGCAATTCAACTAAGATGTAAGTTCAGTGAGAATGCTGTTCGAACTCTTGGAATTCCTGATTCAAAATGCTATTCCAATTATTTCTAATAATATTTAGGGGATCCTGACGTTGTGCATCAATGGCAGCTGAACTTCCCCAAAGAGAGACAATCCGACACTACATTCCTTCTTATAGGAAAGAGGATATCACAGTGAAGTAGTTTTTCCCCCCAAATCAAACCTGGATCTGATAAGCTTCTAGAATCCATATAACAATTTTTAGAATACAAAGGCTGGAGGGATATATTAAATTATGACAAAGCAGTACAGTCAGCAAAACCCAGCTTGCACCCTCGGAGTGGCTGGTGACTTTGAACTGCTGACCTTGCAATTAGCAGCTCAATTCAGCATCCCCAGGCCACCTGCCTGTACTTAATAGTATTAACCACTGTGACATCAGGGGTTCCTTTAAAGGAACCTCTAGAGCAGTGGTTCTCAACCTGCCTGATGCCGCGACCCTTTACACAGTTCCTCATGTGGTGACCCTAAACCATAAAATTATTTTCGTTGCTACTTCATCACTATAATTTTGCTACTGTTCTGAATCGGGCCTGGGGGGTCTTGACCAACAGGTTGAGAACCGCTGCTCTAAAACATACAAAAACAAAACCAAACCTCACTGTCTTTGAATTGAGTCTAACTCATAGCAATCTTATATGACAGGGCAGATTTACTCCCTGGAGTTTCCGGAGCTACAAATCTTTATAGGAGACTCCTGCAACTTTTTCCTGCAGAGCCATGGCAGGTACCAGCAGGGTTTCCTCTAAAAGAAAAGAGTTCTTAAAACAAAAAAAAATACCACAGTGCAACTATACTTTATTGTACCCCCAAATACAAACAACAACAAATCAGCACAGTTGTATTGTGGTTTTGCACATTTTTTGTACAATAAGGTACAATAAGGTTTTTTTTTCTAAGAACTCTTTTCTTTTAGAAGGACCCAGGGTGGCAAACGTGGTGAGGGGCTTGGTTATTAATTGAAAGATCCATTGTTTGAACCCATCAGCTGCTTCAGGAGGAAGATATGGGGGTCTGCTCCTACATTATAGCCCCGTAACCTCTGTGGCGCAGTTCTACTGTCACAGGGTTGCTAAGGGATGGGTCCAACTTGAAGACAGTGGACATATTTTTTATTGTTTTTGAGGGGCCCTGGTGGTGCAGTGGGTAAGGCACTAGAATGCAAACCAAAAGATGGGTGGCTCACACGCCAGCAGCTGCTCTTTGGGAGGAAGCTGTCACAGGTGGCTTGCATAAGGAGCAATGGCTTTGGAGACTCCTGGGGCAATTCTAGTCTGTCCTACAGGGTCGCTATGAGTCGGAACCCGCTGAAGGCAGTGGATGTGGTTTTCCTTTAGAGAGGCATGTTGAAATATTTATTGATGACGTGGTGGGAGAGAGAGGATCTACTTTGTAGTCATACTGCAGGGTAGAGTGGGTGGGGATATAGACAAAAGCTGGGTCAGGAATTGATCATAATCAAGCTGCTTGATAAGAATATCATTTGTTTTGCAATTATTCCCACTTTCCTAGATATTGAAATGTTCTATAATAACAATAAAAGTTAACGTTTTCATAATGAAATCATTGGACGAGGACCCAGGATTCTATGAATAATTCAGCCCAAGGGGGCTTAAAAAATTTTTTTTTCACCTACCTTTTTCCAGGTGTAATCATAACCATCCACATTAATCACTGGCATGACATAGAAATCCATGTGTCTCAGAAGATTAGTATATAGCGTTTCTCTCCTATAAAATTGAGTTACCTACAAATTAAAAATTTAGATTTGCAGATTTAATATTCAGAAAGCATTAATTTTTCAAAAGGATTGAATTTAGGGTACTCTGCTACTAAATACTGGTAAGTGCTTTGGCCATGGGATACACAGACTCCCTATTTAATATACCTGTATAGAGAAAAGAGAATCACACATTTTCTAAAATTTCCTTTTAAAAATAATGCTTTATGAAAGCCATCCACTAAAGATAGTAAATCCCACTACATTCGAATGTTTAAGGAAACAAAAATCTCGATATAGTTCAGCTCCCTTTTCAATAATCCCTGTCAATCAGAGATTAGATGAATCTTGTCTTATGTCCAGACATGATCAGATGCTATTTTAAAAACTGTATTTTATTGTGTTTTCCGTGCAAGTTCTTCTCTGGTAATTTACGTACAAATTGATCGGTGACAGCAGCTAACGTTTTCCACAAGGTGTCCCCATTCTCCTGACTCAAGGTCTGCTTGTTCCATTCGTAGCTCTAGCTGCCTGTCTCTTTATCTGTTCACTTTCGGTGTAGAGTAAATATCGAACTTATGGACTCACACACATTTGTTTTGTTTTTCTCTCCATAGAGCCCAGATAGATACTATTTTCTAAATTGTCCCTAGAACTCGTGGAGCTAAAATCTTGCTAAAAATGAGTATATCTATGAAGCATCAGGTCATTTGGCTTCAAAATCTGTGGGAGCTTTTCTGTAGATACTACCCTGTGTCCCCGAAAACAAGACAGTGTTTTATATTATTTTTTGCTCCCAAAGATGCGCTAGGTCTTACTTTCAGGGGATGTCTTGTTTTTCTATGAAGAAGAATATGGTACACATTTATTGTTTATTATTTTATTAAAAGAGACCTCGCACTTCCTGTCTGCTCCAGCTGCGCTGCGGCCAACAGTGAGCTGCACGGCAGTGCCTGCCTCTACAGTCCAGAGTCCAGAGTCCAGAGTTATGGTAGCTTCTGGGGGCCTTATTTTCGGGGAGGTCTTATTTTCAGGGGGATGCCTGATATTTCAGTGAGAGGCAAAACTGTAAGTAGGTCTTATTTTCGGGGGATGTCTTACTTTCGGGGAAACAGGCTAGCTATGAGTCAGAATGGACTCGGCCGTTGTGAGTTTTTTGTTTGGTTTTTGTTTCAGTTATGTGTTTCCTGGCAGGCATGACCTGACACCTGTTCTTCTAGGCTCTAGGACTCATATCCAACACATTCAGAGAGGATATCAGGGACATCTCATTCTGACGACGGAGGAGTTCACCCAAAATAACTAAGCCCAGAGAGGAGAGGACCACAGAGATGCACTTCAGTCGGCTAAGTAATTTCTCCCAGGACCAAGTTTTACCCAAAACCTTCATTTGCGACAGCATTAATACTTAAACAAACAGTTTTTATTGTAACTTAAGGGGAAGTTATATTTCAAATCATTAATTTTGCACGCAATAGGCCAAACCACTAATCAAACCCTTCAGTAGCCCTGTTGTCCCCACTTTTATTTAAAATATCCTGTGAAGAAATTTTTTCATTATTAACAAAAGCAAATGAAGGCTTTTGATGCCTACCTGTACTATAGCTTACATGTTATGACTTTATCTTTAAATATTTAAAACATTAAATTCGTATTTTCTCTAAACTAATCAAGAGTCATTTTAAAACTCCTTTTCAATGGATAACCACTTTAAAAACATGAGAAATGCATAAGAAACATTACAAGTTATTAAAAAAAAATCTATGCTAGGTCGTAGGAGAAAGACACTTCCACAAAGAATTACCATTTCGGAAACTTACAGGAGCAATCCGACCCTGTCCTATTGGGTCGCTGTGAGTTGGCATAGACTTGGCGGCTCTGACTTTGCTTTTTTGGTTTCTCATAGATCAGAGGGAGCTCTGGCGATCTAGTGGGTTATCCGTTGGGCTGCTAACAGTCCAAAACCACTAGCCGCTCTTGGGAGTAAAGATGAGGCTGTAAAGAGCTGCAGTCTTGGAAAACCACAGGGGCAGTTCTACCCAAAGGGTCACCGGGAGTCAGCGTAGACTGGAAGGCAGTGAGTCTGGAGTGGTGCGTGTTTCGTAGCACAGGCGAGAGATAGAACCGCCGCTGGATGAAAAGGAAGCCACGTGTACAACCGGAGGAGAGCAGTCTCTTAGGCACTGAGTAGTTAAACACAAACTTCCAATGCTACAAATTTAGAACTCTAGGTGGGATACATGTTTCGGTAATACCCGGGCATTTGTGATAGAAAAAGAGCATTGCTCTGTGCTGTTCAATCCGTCTGACTCACAGGGAGCCTCTGTGACAGAGGACAATGCTTCATAGGTTTCCTCAACTGTCATCTTCAGAGAGCAGAGAGCCGCATCGTTTCTTTCCACACGGCCGATGGTGGGTTTCAGTAGCCAACCTTTCTTTCCGTGTCTAAATATTTAAGCACGGCACCATCAGAGCTCCGTTTTGGAAAGAGAAGGGATCTAAATTTGTCCCTGGGCTGAGGGAAAATGAGTGAGAGGCACAGAGACTTTAACTGGATTTTAATTTCCTGAAGAAAATGAGACCTGATTCACTTCTGGAAAACCAGTCAATGAAACTCCATGGATCACAATGGTCCAACCAACAATGGAGCTCCTTCAGAAAAATAAGAAACATCTCGATTATGTAGGCTTGGGCCTTGTCGGAGGAAATCATTAGACTGTAAGATCCTGAGCTGTCTCTTGTTCCTCATTGTCTCTCCAGAGTCAAGAGCCTTGTAACCAATTTATTAATATTTATGCAATACATAGATTAATCTTACAAAGATACAGTAAGTTGAAGGTTGCAGTGCAGTGCACTATGTAATACGGCTCTTCCAGTCATTGTCATTGTAACTCCCAGCAAGTGACGATTTCCTGATGGGTCTGCGTAATCGAAGGTGGTGAAGCTATGGATAGGATTATATGACTCGGTTATGAGCCATTTTTAATAAGATTAATCATAATTTTAAAAGCATGGAACGCTAATGGGGGCATGGTCCATTTTACCATGCTGCTCGGTATAAAATGGGCCATCTCAGAAGCAGAGGGGGTAGCTTATGACCAGCAAGAGAGACGAGTCGAGTAGATTCTGTCTTTGGGACCCCAAGATCCCTGCACATGGAATCTACTTGAACCAGGACAGAAAGCCGTGGCACAAGAGACTTATCGGAGGAATGGCAGCAGCGCCGAGAGCCGGAGCATGAGACAGAGCAGTGGCTCCTTAGTGCACCGCACTGAGCAAGGACAGCTGAGTGCTCTCGGGCAGCAAGCTGATTTATGGAGTGGGGTCCCTCCAGGTACTTAATTGAGGGAGCTGGGTTTGCCGACCCACAGCAAACACACACACACACACACACACACACACACACACACACACACACACCATAATACTGCTAAGAAGAAAGTATGTCTATTAATTTGGAGTCAGTCAGCTGGAGTTGATATGCCAGCTCAGCCACTATATACGACCTTGGCAAGTGATTTCACCTTCGAAGTCCCTCTTTGCCCACCTATAAAGCATAGAAATGAAACCTAGCAGACTAGATGGGGAAACTCCCCGGCACTTGTGAATTGCTAGCTATATTATTCAGATCTCTTGACCTTGGCTGCTTCTCTGACCCCTTACTCAGTTTTCACTGGCTGCATCACCTTGGGTTCCTGTGAGCACGTTGATTTTTAAGTACAGCTGAAGGAAGCCTGTTGTGCCCATTCTGACCCAAAGGTACCCTATTACGTCTAAGCTCTACCTGATGTGCAATCTTCATGGAAGACAGCTGCCATATCTTTTCTCCCATGGAGTGACTGGTGGGGTTGACACACTGACTTTTGGATTAGCAGCGAAGTGCTGTAGCCACTGCTTCACTAGGGCTCCTCCCCGCTGGGAATGGGAATCCTACTTCTGGAATGTGGCTCCGTGAGTACAGCACTTATCTCTGGCATCTCTCACAGTCACCTTTTAAGGAAGGGATTGTGATGAGGTGGATGGAATTGTGACCCTCCAAAGATACGTTGAAGTTGTAACCTTCGGCAGAATGTTACATGTGTATAAATGAGAATTATCCTTATCCTTATTATTAAGACTCATCACATTTTTGATTAGCAGCCCAGAGCTTAACTGCTGTACCAGCAGTGGAAACAAAAATAAATAAGGTTCTAATACTAGGTCTGAGTTCTGTGTGGCCATTACGATGAATGAACGAGCCCAGCAGAAAAGTACAGAGTGCGTGGGAGGCGCTATGGGTGTTAAGTTGGTAAGTAGGTTGGAGGGTGAGACCGTCTGACCTCAGCTTGGCAGGAAATGGTCTTGGGCGAAACTGATGTGGAATCGGATTCTCCTGTCCCCATGTGAACTTAGAAGGAGCTAGCTACTCCCCCAACATTAATAGTTTGTATACTAGAGCAGAGGATGGGTCGGTAAATAGGGAAGGGGTATTGTATTGGAAAGGGTTGTGATGCAGGACAACTTTACCAATACAAATATGAATCTTTCTTCCCCCTTCTTTTACTATTTCTGTTAAAAAGCATAAAACGACTTGACTTTAGGAGTTTCCAGACCGTCAGAATGACTGGACTCGTCTATGGGCCTGGTCAGTTGGAATCACCTACCTTGGTCATGAGAGTATCATCATTGGTTGGGAACTTTTCTGCAGATTTGGGGAAGCTACCGCCCTGATTGGTGGGAGGGGAGCAGATGTTAAGGTGATGAAAGGAAGGCAGACAAATTTCTACCTTTTACTCTTGAAATGTATATTTTTTATTTTACTTTTGAAATATCTCATTCGTTAAGGTGGATCTATTTAGTGGCAAACCTTTAATTTCCGAACTTATCTCTTGGGTGTTACTATGAATCTGTGAGTACACAGACAGTAACCATGATGAGAGAGCCATATGTTTTGAGTTATTTATACAAAAAGCAATGACTCTGTATATAAATCAGGATAGAAGACATAGATGCTTACTTTATAGGATCTGCAGCATATTGCTCCTTTATTATAGAGGTTTATAGTCATTATATATTCTTTACTTTTATGATATACTTTTTGTCTCATATACAGTTTTCTTCAATGGCAAGCCATTCTTCAGGGACACAATCTTCAATCATACCCTGTGGGAAACTGCTCTGCTCTGGGATCTTTATGTTTAATGGCCAGAGTCTGAAAATGGCAAAAGGTATCTGGATAGTTCAAGCCAAAAGGGATAAAAATTCATTGGAAGCCAACCTAGAGAATCGCTTCGCTTCTTCCTTCTATTTTAGTAAACACATTACAACCAGCCTATTAACTTAAAAATATTCTCCAGTGTTCAGCGCAGCCAAAAATGTAGGAAGGAAAAGACCAACAGCCTTGGGGGGGCGGTGTATTGACTCATAGTGGCCCCATCCCATATGACAGAGTCGACCTGCCCCCATTGGGTTTTCTTGGCTGTAATCTTCAGATCACCACGTTGTTTTTTTCTGCGGCACCACTGGGTGAGTTTGAATCACAGCCTGTTAGATATCAGCTGAGGGCTTAACCCTTTGTACAACCAGGCCTCCCTCAGCAATCTTCAGGGTGACTTAAATGATTAAGACCAGTTTTCTAATTTAATTTGCATAATGACATCTCACCCAAGCCTCACTTTTGGAAGTCTTTGAGCCAAGAAGTCTATGACCGGTCTTGGAGATAATACCTTCAAACGAACAATTCCATTAGTTCAGACATAGGTGGTCTTGAACCACATACTTAAAGGAACACGGACACTTACATAGCCTATGAACCACAAACAGAAGGCAGGAGAAATCCATTCTCTGGCGTGGATTCCACAGTCAATCCATATGGCATTTTTAGCTGTCTGTTCTTTTTTGGAAACCTGTTCAAAGAAAATGAAACAAACAAAAAAAATAAGTCTCCAAATACTATATTCCATTGATATTGTGCTTAAATCAAATAGAAATACATTGAACTATTTCAACAAGTCTACAAAATACAGACTTTTCTCTTCATTCCTTTGAGAATTCTCAAGTAAAATTAAGGAGCTGGTGAGATGAAGGGATGTCAGTTCAGGTCTCATAACTCCTATAAGGGGGGCCACTAAGTTTTACCACCTGTATTCTTGATGTCCAGCTCCCCACCTCATGCATTCCCCAGCCCCAACAATGAACTAGTCTAGTGGGAACTGTAAGTGTAAATTGAGAGGTAGACACCAGTGATGGGATCCTTGTCGAGATAAGTAGGTGTGTCTTAGGGAGTGGCCTTCCCTGAGATAAGTAGGTGTGTCTTAGGGAGTGGCCTTCCCTGGGATGCGGACACTCAACCAGAACAGAGTCTTGGCAAAGAGAAGTCAGTGGTGACAAAGAAACGCTTGCACTTCTTCACCACGTTCCTCAGGGAACAACATTCTACTCCCCAATTCCCACCCAAAGTACGCCTCTAACTTCTCCCAAACTAATCACAAATCTGAGGCCCGAGACTTTGTTCTGATCCATGAGACTGCTCCTTAGAAGTGAGCGTGACTTTGTCCCACATACTTTGGACGTGTTACCAGCAGGGACCAGTCTGTGGAGGAGAGCATCATGCTTGGGAAAGGGTCAATGAAAAAGAGGAGGACCCTCATCAAGACAGACTGACACATGGACTCCAGCACTGGGCTCAAAGATAGCCATTGTGAGGATGGCACAGGACAAGGAGGGTTTGCTCTGTTGCACGTGGTGTCAGCGATGAGTCGGAATTCACATGCTGGCTCCTAGCAACAACTTGGCTCCTAATAATCCCCCACTGGCTCTAGGCACTGATCCTTACCAAGGGCATTTTATCCAAGAGAGGAAATACTGGATTCAAGGTAGGTTCATCAGATGCATTCGCATAAGGTTTTGCAACTGAAACTGGATGGTGGCTGGAGCTAGTGTATGAGCCCTCTGTGGTGAAAGTCCCTATATCTGAGCTGATAGTGGTATAAAGTACAGTAAAATCTGAGAAATTACTAGAAAAGTTCTCTCATAAATGTAGACCCTGGAGCCCAGAAAAGTTAAGTGATGTATCTAATGTCCCATCAACAGGAACACAGCTGATCCTGGAATTGAGGTTCTGACTCTTGAACTAATACATATTGCCACCTAGTCGATGTTGATCCATAGCCACCCTCTAGGACAGAGTAGAACATAGAGTTGAAATCTTTATGGAAGCATACTGACACATATCTCTCCCATGGACCAGCTGGGGGTTCAAACAACCAATCTTTCTGTTAAGTGGAGCGCTTAACCACTGCGCCACCAGGGCACCTCCTGAACAAATGCGGCATTGTAAAAGGGATGTATAGTTAAAGTAAACTGTAATTTATAGTTTCTTTTAACTATAATAAACTGGATTTATAGTTAAAATAAACTGTAATGTATAGTTTTTTTTAACTGTAATAAACTGGATTTATAGTTAAAATAAACGGTAATGTATAGTTTCTTTTAACTCTAATAAACTAGATTTATAGTTAAAATAAACTGTAGTTACAACAACCAAAAAAATTCCAACTTTCGGTGACCCCCTGCATTACAGAGTACAGACTGCCCCACAGGGCTCTTTCTGTTGCAATCTTTACAGACGTAAAGCAATAAGACTTTCTTCTGGGGCATCATGGGCAGGTTCAAGCCGTCACCTTTTGGCTTGGGTGTTTTATTAAACCAACAACTAAGCTCGCTCATTCTCAGCGACTCTCCCTTGGTTTCTGAGTCTGTAACTGTTCTAGAAGTCGGGAGCCTAGACTTTCTCCCGAGGAGCTGCTGGAACACAGTCCAACCCGTAAGCACGACACCACCAGGGCTTCTCTATTCGGAGCCTTCAAGTCAGTTCTGACTCATCTTGACCCATTTTCACTTGGGACTATGTTTGAGTCCATTGCTGCAGCTACTACGTCAACCCATTTTTTTTTTTGAGCTCTTCTTCACTGACTCTCTACAAAGTGTGATGTCCTTCCCCAGGAACTGGACACCTGTGATAATATGCGCAAAATACATGAGATGGATTCTCCCCCTCCTCCTTATGCCGACTGCACTTCTTCCCAAATAGACTTGCTCACGATTATGGCTGTCGCTAGTTCGTGTTCTTCACGAACACCATCATTCAAAGGCACCAATTCTTCAGGCTTCCTTACTCATTGCCTGCCTTTCACATGTCTGTGAGGCATACTCCAGTTCTCAGAAAGGTCTCTTTGCTTTTTAACACTCTAATTATGTCTTTTGCAGCAGATTTGCCCAATGTAATATGGCCTTAAAAGCTCACAAACCCAAACTCACTGTCATCAGCCCTTGCCAACTCATAGCGATCCTATCAGACAAAGTAGACATGTCCCTGTAGGTTTCCCAAACATTTTTCTTTTTAATCGTTTTATTAGGGGCTCATACAACTCTTATCACAATCCACACATACATCAATTGTGTCAAGCATATTTGTACATTCATCATCCTCAAAACACTTGCTCTCCACTTAAGCCCTTGGCATCAGGTCCTCATTTTTCCCCCTCCCTCCCTGCTACCCCCTCCCTCAAGAACCCTTGATAATTTATAAATTATTATTTTGTCATATCTTGCCCTGTCCGACGTCTCCTTTAACCCAATTTTCTGTTGTCCACCCCCTAGGGAGGAGGTCACATGTAGATCCTTGTAATCAGTTCCCCCTTTCCAAACATTTATTCTTTACAGAAGTAGCAAGCCTCAGCTTTCTCCCATGGAGTGGCTGGTGATTTTGAACTACTAATCATCTGGTTAGCAGCCCGATGTGTAAGTCTCTATGCCACTAGGGCTCCATCGTAGTTCATAATTGGGTGTAAACTACCCGCACCATGCAGGGACCTTTTAAGGCAATAACGAACTTCTCAAGTCTTGAATACTGCAGTTGAGAAACGCTGGTGATACAAGTATTTCCAGAATTCAAAAGAAACCAAAGCTGTAACAAGTGCCGCCGGAGAGTTCCGTCCTGCACAAAGTGGAAAGATGAATGACTCTGTCTACAGCCTACCTTCAAGACATAAAGTGGGTTCTTCTCATAGGAGGATCCAATGTGGATTTTTTCAACCATATCAGGATATCTCTCAGTTACAACTTCTATCCAAGAGTAGATCTATCAAAACAGAAGCTGTGAGTCACAGAGCAAATTCAAAGCATCGCTATGATCAAAGAGAGCAGACCACGTCCTCAGGGGAAGGAGATCCTTCATCTGTGCTCTGTCTGTGCGATTAAAATACTCGGGCCAGAGCTCTTTCCTGCTATGGAGGGAAATCGCTAACATTAATCTCTTGAAAAGTGAAAAAGCACTACAACTTGCAACAAAGTTGGAGAAGTTTGGCTCCTGCATGGTATTTTGAAGGCTGTTTATATGGAATCTCTGCTTCTGCATAAAGTTATCCTTATCATTCATCAAAGCGTTCTCTTTTATATGGGGCAGTTTTTTCTTTCTTTTTAGTATTTGTTTTTGAAGACTGACCTCGTGCATTATCTTTGCACAAGAAAAACAGAAAACACCATTATTTCTGAGCACAACGGGATATGTGGAACCAGGAGGAAAAAGCTAAGGATAATCTGGCAAAAAGGAAAATTCTTTTTTATCCTGGGAAGTAGTTTGCTTCTGACCCACTCTATTTTGTGGAAGATCCAGGACAGTAAAATCATCCACTGGAAGGAAACCCCTGTCAGCGACAGACTCAAGGCTGATGTCCGCTTCACACCAGTCAGTGAGGGGATGGGGCACCTGGGCTTGCACACAGGCATTTTTAAACGTGGCCCTGCTTCCCAGGGGCCACACTTAAAGCTCACACACTGCTTAAAATGGGAATGAACCCAGACCCTAATCGCTAGGACTTTTCCAAATAGCAATTCTGGATCATGGAAAGTGGCATCTTACTGACCCTGGGATTCTCCATAACTCAGGAGAGTGGTCTGTCGGAGTGGTTGTCCTCAGGCCGAGAAGGTAAAGGGCTTCTGGGAGGCTCCACCGCCACTAAATGCACATCCTCTCAGTGTTTGTGGTATCTGACATTGACCCACAGGAATTTCCTCATTGGTGCTCTGTTTCTTCTGAGTCAGAGCCATGTCTGCGAGCACTATGGTGTGCAGAGATCCTTGAGCTGTGCAGAGGATGACTGCCTTGGGCTGGAGTTTGGAGGGCCACTTAGATAGAGGAACCTCGAAAGAAAGGTCTGGCGATCGTTATCTTAAAAAGGCAGCCCCTGAAAGCCTTGTGGGGTACACCTCTATTCTGACACACACGGGTCACCATGAGTGAGAGTCAACTCAATCACAACTGTGGTTTTTGTTTTTAGTATGTTTTTTAAAAAATCATTCTATTGGTGACTCTTACTGCTCTTATCACAGTCCATACATATCTCCATTGTGTCTAGCACATTTGTACATATGCTGCCATCATCATTTTCAAAATATTTTCTTTCAACTTGAGCCCTTGGTATCAGCTCATTTCCTCCTGACCCCCTCCCTTGCTCATGATCCCTTGATAATGTATTAAAAAAATGTTTTCATATCTTACACTGACTGCTGCCTCCCTTCACTCCGTTCACTCACTTCACCAGGGTGGGTGGGTTATATGTCAATGATTGTGATCAGTTCCCCTTCCCCAGCCTCCACCTTCCCCTTAACCTCCTGGTGTTTTTAGTATGTTACAGCATGGATGGTTCAGTAGATTTCTTCCATATGGGGGGATTGTGTTATGAGAAACTTTCCAAACATAACTCATTTCACACTACTCTCTTTTGCCATTTGCTACAAGAAGTATTTCATGGCCACTTGCTTCTTTCTCCCCACAGTTGATTACTTACACGTCACTCTAATCGCTGGTCTGAACCAGTGATGCAAGCATGTACCCACCCGGTGCTTATGTGGTCAGGGCTGGAGGGGAGAGACCCTGGGCGTCTGCAGAAGCAGTGGAGTGTTACAGAAGGAAGGACTTAGAGGGATTTCTTGAGAGCAAGAGTGCATGTTCCCAGGACCCTCGTAGAAAGAACTGAGGGTAGAGGGGAGAATTTTGAAATCTTTTCTGGAATGTTACGGACTTGGTTTTGTTTGCTTATTTGCTTTCCTCCTGTACGATGGCCTTCCTGGACATATGGTAAGAAAGCGGCTCTTTGGAACGTGACCATTTAAAAATGAAATATTTCTCTCGAAAGCCTTCTTCCTACCTCTCACCAAGCTCAAGCTGTCAGTGGCCGGTGCCTTTTCCGTTTTGCAGATCAAGCCTGCTGAGAGGCTCAGCGTCTGGCCTCCAGCTCACTGAGTGCAGTTGGGGAGGTGGCCACTGCAGATGGTCCAGGGGGAGGGGAGGAGCCCAGCAGGAGAGAGAGAGAAAGGGGAGGCACTTTTAAATGAACCCCGTGAGTTCTAGATGCAGATTGGGTTCTGGCTAAACTAATAGGTAAGGAAGAGATGTTCATGAAGATTCAGTAGGAATTGTATTTTTTTTACATAAGTCTTCCATGCCTTAAAAACGTAGCATGGCCCCTACTAGCTGAGGACACCTAATCCGGGATGATGAGAAGACCTCTAGAAGGCAATACAATGCCATTGTTACACGAGAGGGGAAAATAGCAGCAGGGGTATTTTATTCTTTGAGTAGTCTAGAGAAAAAGAAAAAGGCTGCTAGGAGTTTATCCTTCACAACTAACCAACACAGCTCTTATTGTGTTATGCAGAAACTAGCTGAGACCAATTAAACTAGAGCCTGCAAATACTGACTGGAAAAAACAGAAATGACCTAGTTTCTTAGAGATTAAGATACAGGTATTCTTGTTTCCAATAGCGTTCTCATGGGTAGAAAAAGAGCACTCACTCACACTGTCTTAACTGTAAGTGGATACATTCCTTTAATTCAGCAAGATCACCTCTAATTATTCAATGTGAGAAGTTTTTTTAAATCCGAAGAGACATGATTAATCTGTCTATTATTTCTTGTGGAACTTTTGATGAAAAATCTCCATTCTTTATTCCAGTTATTTCTTAATACATAATGTTATTCCTATCAGCTTTCCACTTTCGTTGAATCCACTCGGACTCTTCATGACCCTAAATAGGGTTTTAAATGTCATCTTTTCCCCCTGGAGCAGCTGTTCTGAAGGGCTCTTTAGAGATACGCTTTGCTTTGCAAAACACCCTTCTTCCATGCAGCTTTGTAAGACTGATCCAATCCTTCCAGAACCCCAAACTAAACTCACTACTATTGAGTCCATGGCGGTTGATAGGAACCCCGCAGGACAGAGTTGAACTGTTGCTGTGAACTTCTGAGAATGCAACTGTTACAGGAGTAGAAACCTCCATCGTTCTCTCTAGGAGAGGCTGGTGGTTTCAAACTGAGGACCTTGTGGATGGCAGCCCGATGCATAACCACTCCACCACCAGAGCTCTTCATCCCAGGGAAGGTGGCTGCAAAGCAGTGTGGGACTGCTCTACAACACACATGTCATAACCCTCCTTCACCGATTCTGACCCTTTAATAATTTCCTTCGGTGGAATGGCAATGTTACATAAAAGGAACAAGTCATTTAAAAATTAACTTTTTAAACGATTATCCCGCTTAGCCGCACATGCATGGTTAGCACAAGAACTGAACTTGATTGCAACCTCCTTTGAAGAAGGGAGAGTAGGCACACACCCTTGTGTGAAGTTTCTTCATGGTGGGCCAAGAATACCAAACCTTGGTAATACTGTCAGTAACCCCCGTGATGCTCAATAGAAAAACCTACTAATTAGCCCTGCTTAATGTAACAAGGCAGGAGGCAAACCAGACTATGACAATAACACTATTTTCCAGGCTCCAGGAACATGATGATTACTCCCGTATCATATTTTCACTGTGTGCCACTATGACACGTATATTTTGATTTCCTGTATAAGCCAAAGCAGAATTATCATCTAATGAGTGATTTAGTTATTTCACTGGAACCTCATTGCCTATGAACTCAAAATTCAATGGTAGCAGGCAAGGAATGCAATGATTTCTGGGAATATGTCACCGTGATTGCAGGACGTAGTTCTAGAATGTGTGCCCCGTGAAAAGGGACCAGTGGTTTTGGCCACGTGGTCTAGCTTACTTCGTTTAGCGAGTGATACTGTTCGTAGTACGACGAGGAGGCCCGGGGGCTGACCGTGTCATTGGCCGTCTGCTGTCGGATGAGCTCCTCAACATTTTCTATGGAGACACTAGGGGACAAAGCAGAGGGTGAGCCGGGCTCCATGTAGCACTCGCGCCTTCCCGCTTGGCGCAGCACCGACGCGAGAGCCACCCGGGGAAGTCAATAGCAGATCCAATCAGCAAACGTTCCTTGAGGTGCGTGCAGCAAACACGAATACGGTTACAGGCTGACCGCCTCAGGTCCTTTCAGCAGGTTCTGCATAAGCACTGGAGAGAAAGCAGCTCCTCTTTGGTGGGTTCCTGACCTGCCAAACTCTCTCCACCGTTACCAGCCTTTCTCCAGAAAGAAGGACAAAGCAGTGGCTGTTTGTTTTGCTCAGTGACAGCCATTACCTGGTAAAGGGCAACTGTTCTACAAGCCAAAGATGACCACATCCCTGGAGACCCGGAAAGAACAGGGCAACAGATGTGCAGGGAGCTGGCTCGCTAACTTTCTCTTGAGAAGCACCACAACTACTAACTGGGCACGCATGCTGACTGTTCACCCATCACCTGAGTGGACAGAGGACATTTGCTAGGGGTCAGAAGCCCTCAACAGCAGTGGATTGTTTCCTTTTTGATGCTACTAAGGCTTTCTTTACATTTATTTAGGCCAATGGATAAGAACTTGGGCTTTGACACCAGAGAGATCCAAGTTTAATTTTTTTGTCCTTCCATTTTCTAGCTGGCTCTCTGTGAGTCTACACGTTTCATCTACACTATGGGAATACAGTGAACCCTCGCCACTTTGCGCTTCGACTTCCGCGGCTTCACTCTATCGCGGTTTTTGCGTAACAGTGCATGCTCTGTCATTACTGCCACTGATTGGCTCATACTGTACATGCTTGATGCCATAAATAATATAATAAATAATAAATGATCATTGTAACGTCCAAAATGTTTTACTGTATTTTCCCTTTTTCATTTAATAAATTGGGTAATACGTGTGTCATGGTGACTAAAGGGTGTTTTTTCATGTCCTCTATGCTCTAAGTATGAAAATATTTGATTTACAAATAAGGAATCCTACTTCGCGGAATTTCATTTATTACGGTAGGGTCTAGAACCGATGAACCGCGATCAACGAGGGTTCACTGTAGTATCTGCCTCAGAAGGGAAGGTGTGGACTGAATGATACGGTGTAAAGGAAGGCTCCGCCCAGCAAACACCTGTTATATATTATTAGTAATAATTATCGGACGTAACGCAAAGGTGGTCCATGGACATTCAGAGGCGATCGTGGCTTGGGGAAAGTGCCAGGGCACCAGAAGGATCCTGGGAGGTTAGACCATGGGCGCAGAGAGGAGCTATTAGCTAGAGGACCGAAGAGGAGGAGGGCATGGCCTAGGAACAGAGATCATAGCTGATGCACTTTTTAGTCTAAGACCAGACATTCAGGAATGTTCACGGACCTCACGAAGGAGAAAGAATCAGAAAATGCGCTCCTTTTCTGCAGCTTCTTTTACAAGAGATACCGTGATGGTGGCCATGGGGAGTGACAATGTCATGCCCTGAGCCTGACCATAGACTATGCATACATAGCTCTGACCAGTGAACCCTCATTTTCAGATAAGAGGGTGAAACAATTTGCCTAAAGTCAAATTTGGCTGGCTGCTTGGCTTTATCACCAGATTTGTTCAATGTGAGTACTTTATTTTTCCACGAAGCAATTGTACTATCATCGCATAGCAAAATAAAATAAAGTAGTAATATACCACGACTTAGCACAGGAAAAAACACAACAGAATTAATTGCCAACATTCCAACTCTTGATCCCACGTGGGTCAGAGCAGAACTGTGCTCTACAGGGTTTTCCGTGGCCGGTTTTTGGAAGTAGATCATTCGTTCTTTCTTTTGAGGGGCTTCTGGGTGAACTCAAACCACCAGACTTTCAGAAGCAGCTAAATGCTTAACCATTCGGGCCACTCAACAAATCCTAAAATGTATGATGGGTGCTTAGAACAGCTACTCGGTAGAAGTGGGCTGTGCCTACCTGAATGGAATCCGGCTCACATTCAGATGGGCTTTCACAATGCTGACGTCGGAGTCATTCACAAAAAAATGAACTTCCTCTTTCTTCCTAATAAGGTCTGCCGTTACTGGCTGCCAGAGAACAATCTGCCGTTTCAAGAGGGGGAAAATGGCAACATAAACACAAGGCTGTGCACATCCTTCTCATCTGTAGCTAGTCATAAGAACGGGTTGACAAGGGACTTGTTCCTTCTAGTTCTTATCCACACGCAGGGTAATATAAACATTTGTACTGCATCGGTTCTTCCCCGCAATCCTATTTGCTAAGAGGGCTGGGAATATACCACCCACTCCATACGCAGTTGTTGAGAAAATGAAGGACCGAGTGATAGGATGGCAAATGAATGAACATATTCAGAACCGGGTCTCGGGTATTTAAAAGAGAAACAAGATTGTTGGTCATCGCGAGAGGACGCTGGTTGAATACTGATTTACTTTATGATCAATTCTATGTCCTGGGTACTATTATCATGCCACTGTTCCTTTGAGTTCCCTGCATGATGCACATGGTCAACTCATTCAGCGGCTCCCTGAAGATCAGAGGTTGAAGCTCATTTGAGGGGCCCTGGATGGGAGACCTGGTGATGGGCTTCTAAGAAATCAGACGTTGACAAGTCTAGGGAGTGCGAGTCTCCCTGAGACACCAGGGATGGATGAACTGGGGCGGACCCAACAGCACCTTTTCTTTAAACTGATTATGGCCTTTGGGCAACTCGTTCCAATTGTCTTTTTTATTTTTCTCTTTTACTGCGGGGCTTTCACCCGCATCTCATTTGATCATCATGATCATCAGACCTTGATACGAGTGTTAGTCTTTTCATTATTGAGATGGGACAGCTCCAGGCTAAGTTGTCTACCACCATACACCTGAACTGTGGGAGAACAAAAACTAAAATTCGAAATATTGGTTGCTCCCTCTAAAGATGTTTCCTAGTGCAACCAGTTGTCACTGAACGCGTTCCAGCCCAGGATTACTTCCTCTGTGTCAGAGTAGAACTGTGCTCTGTAGAATTTTCTTTCTTTCTTTCCTTTTTAAAAAAAAAAATTTGTGAAGAGTATTTTTTTTCTTTTTAAAAATCATTTTATTGGTGGTGCATACAACTCTTATCACAATCCATCCATCCATCCGTTGTGTCAAGCACATTTGTACATTTGTTGCCATCATCATTCTCAAAATATTTTCCTTCGACTGGAGCGCTTGGTATCAGCTCCTCATTTTTCCCCTCCCTCCCCACCACTGCTCCTTCACGAACCTTTGATAATTTATGAATTATTATTATTTTGTCATGTCTCATACTGTCCGACGTCTCCCTTCACCCACTTTTCTGTTGTCTTTCCCCCAGGGAGGGGGTTATATGTAGATTACCGTGATCAGTTCCCCCTTTCTACCCCACCTTCCCTTTCCTCTCCTGGTATCGCTACTCTCATTATTGGTCCTGCGGGGTTTCTCTGTCCTGGATTCCCTGTGTTTCCAGCTCTTATCTGTACCAGTGTACATCCTGTAGTCTAGCTGGATTTGTAAGGTAGAAATGGGATCATGATAGTTGCGGGGAGGAAGCATTAAAGAAGTAGAAGAAAGTTATATGTTTCATCATTGCTATACTGGACCCTGACTGGCTCGTCTCCTCCTCATGACCCTTCTGTGAGGAGATATCCAGATGCCTTCAGGTGGGCTTTGGGTCTCCATGCCGCACTGCCCTCATTCACAATGTCTGTAGAATTTTCAATGACTGATTGTTGATCTATACAGGCCTTTTCCCAAGGTGCCTCTGAGGGAATTTGAACCCCCATCCTTTTGGTTAGCAGTAGAATAAGTTCATCATTTGCATGACACATGATTCCATACCACGGTGTCAAAACTCACTCAAACTCACTGCTATTGAATTGATCCCAACTCATACCAGTCCCACAGGACTGAGTAGAACTGCCCCTCTGGGTTTCCAAGACTGTAAATCTTATGGGAATAAAAAGTGTTATCTTTCTCCCACAGAACAACTGGTAGTTGATCTCCTGACCTTGTGGTTAGTAGTCCAAAGTGTGACACACTGCACCACTAATACCCTTCTGTTGTGAGACACGCCCATTGCTCTCCGTCTTGATCCACCAGAGTCTGTAATAATACTCCCACTGGGCTGCAGTCAATCAATGAGAGAGCACGAAGGGTCTGTATTGAAGATCCATTCCTGGGCCATGTGGGATTACTTTAACACATGGCTTATTTTAACAGACTCCCCTTAGACCCTCACTGGAACTACACTGCAGCCGGAGGTCTTGTCATGCACTGTCTTCCTTCCTTCCTTCCTTTCTCTCTCGTTCTCTCCTTTACATGTGGCAGGCCCGCAGCACAGTCTCATTATGGCCCTGCCAACCCCAGCTCCTTCCTCTTTCCCTTCACAAGCGTCCCTTGCACCTCGCATCTGGCTTTGGCATCTGCTTCTCAGAGGACGCTAACTACCAAACAGGGAAGCATCATTTTCCTACCATTTAGAACACTTGCCAATGATCTGCGCCTTATGCATTCTGGGGAGATGAATCCCCAGCATGAACATCTTCTTAAATTCCCATGGGTTTCTGATGCTTACTGCTTGCACATGGTTGAAGAGTGTCCTCCCAAACCCATGTCCACTCCCAAACCTTCGAATAGAACTTCACTCAGAAATAAGGGGCTTTTTTGGCAGATGTAATTAGGTAAGATGAGGTTATGTTAGATCAGATAGGGACCTAATGTGATTGGTATTCTTGTGAGAAGAGATCCAGAGACTAAGGGGCTTCAAAAGTTTGTGGAAATGCTCCATTATCTTTTGGCTCCATTGTGGCCCGAGGTTTCTGAAGCTCCCTCGTACATGTTAGACGGAGCTAGAGACTTCAGCGAGGGGCCACCAAGCCAAGGATTGTTAGCAACACCAGAAGCTAAGAGCGAGATTTTGAATCATTCTCCCTTGATAGCATAGTTGTTACCCAACATTGGGCTGCTCACCACAAAGCATGCAGTTCCAAACCACCAGCTGCTTCTCATAAGAAAGACAAAGCTTTCTACTCCCATAAACAGTTACAATCTTGCAAAATCTCTTCTACCCTGATGGATAGGATTGCTATGAATCATCGTCAACTTGATGGCAGTGAGTTTTGAGTTGTTTGAGAGCCTTCAGAGATAGCATGGCTCCTTAGGCACCTTGATGTTGGACTTTAGCTTCCACAACTATAAGAGAATAAATGCATGGTCTAAGCCTCCCAGTGAGTAATAACTTGTTCCTAAATATCTAGACATTTAATATGGGCCTTGATTTATAGGCAAAGTTCTGTTGAATCATTGTCATTGTAGTAGACCTAGAAGCACACAGATTTAATCCCGACTTACAATGGTTAAATTGGTTGCCAAGTTGATGCAACAAATGAAGAGGATTTCACCTGGGTGGCCAGTAAAATGGGAAAGGGAAGAAGACGATAAGAAGGGTAAATAGCAGATACATATAAATCAGATAAATGCAATGGGGAACATAGCATGCAACGCTTACATAAATAAAACCAAAATACATTGGAAGAAGTTACCTCATATTTTTCAGTAAGGTTTTGCAGAATTTCAGCTTGCCTGGAGGTTCTAGGAAGAGCCAATAAAATCTGGCCACTGTGGGGGCAGGGGGGGACACAAAGGATTTTGACATTGGATAAAAAATGAGCATGAGAATAAATTATGCTAAACGAACAGTAAGAAAAAAAAAGAACATTAGCAGGAAAGTGGATCTCACTTTAGGTTAAGTGCAAAAAGAGAACTTAGACTCTCTCCTTCTTTCTGGTTCCAGGCAACTGCAAAATCAGCAGCTCTTGACAGAGAGTCAGTTTATGATTTCTTCTCTTTCTCCTTGATTGTGTGTATGAACTTTAAAAATGAAATAATTCATGGGTATGCTAATTTTATGCTAATTATCCTTTACTGTCATAAAACATACAGTGAATCCAACTTGACTTATGTTCTTGAAAGAAAGGAAAACCCTCCAAACGCACAGGCATCGTCAGCGCTGACTCATGGCCGCCCTATAGAACAGAGTCCCCTGCTTCTGCGGGGTTCCTAGATGGTAACTCTTCCTGAAAGGAGAAAGTCCAGCTCCTAACCACTATGCCTGCAGGGCTCCTTCATAGTATATATTTCTATGACCGCCAACCTCCAAAGGTACCCAGTGCCCTACATTTTCATTATTGCTCATTCCTTTGCTCTTCTTTCTGATTGTAACACATGTCTATGGGTTCTTAAGCAGTATACCTCGCTTTGCTTGCTTGCACTCTTTAACAGTTGTATCGCAAAGGCATTGAGGAACATCTTGATTTTTCAGCTGAGGTTTTATTTTAAAGGTTATCGTTTGTATTGAAGTCTCCAGTTGTAGGTTGCATGTGAAAGACTTTCTCTCCGGATGGAATTACTATCTTAAGGGACAGGCCTATTCCGATTTTGTAGAGGACTGTCAGAAATGTCCCCAAACTTTGTCACTTGGTAGTTTCGCCTTTGTGAAAATGTTTTATTATTGTCCCTCTTCCTTGTCAACACTTGACACCATCTGATGTTGTTTTAAAAACTTGGTTTTTTAAAACCTTTTTTTAGAGGGAACAAATTTCAATAGCAAGAATAAGGGATGAAGGAGGGGACATTACAACAGACCCTAATGAAATCAAAAGGATACTTACACAGTACTACAAAGGATTGTACTCCAATGAATTCAACAATTTGGAAGACATGGACAAATTCTTGGAAAAACAATCCCTCCCTAGACTCTCCTCGATGGACATCAAGAATCTCAACAGACCCATAGCAATAGAAGAAATAGACAAGGTTATCAAGGGATTACCAACAAAAATATCCCCTGGACCAGATGGTTTCACTGGAGAATTCTACCAAGCACTTAGGGAAGAACTAACACCAATCCTACACAAACTCTTCCAGCACATAGAAAAAGACGGCAAACTCCCAAACTCCTTCTATGAAACTAGTATAACTCTGATACCGAAACCAGGCAAGGATCCCACAAGAATCGAGAACTACAGACCAATATCCTTAATGAACATCGATGCAAAAATCCTTAACAAAATACTAGCCAACAGAATACAAAAGTATATAAAACAAATAATTCACCATGACCCAGTGTGATTCATACCAGGGATGCAGGGATGGTTCAACATATGAAAGACCATTAGCATTATTCGTCACATTGGCATGAAAAACTATAAGAACCACATGATAATATCGATAGATGCAGAAAAAGCATTCGACAATATCCAACACCAATTCCTGTTTAAGACACTTGAGATGATAGGAGTGGAAGGAAAATTCCTCAAGACAATACAAGCTATATATGAAAGCCAACGTGGTAGTCAATTGAGAAAAGACTAACACAATCCCACTGAAAATGGGGAGCAGACAAGGATGTCCCTTGTCCCCACTCTTATTTAATATTGTGCTGGAGGTTTTAGCTAACAGCATAAGGGAAAGAAAACACATCAAAGGTATTCATCTGGGGAAGGAAGAGGTGAAACTATCATTATTTGCAGATGATATGATTTTCTATATGGAAAATCCCAAAAGCTCCACGAGGGGAGTACTGGAAGCAATAGAGGAGTTTGGCAGAGTGGCTGGATACAAGATCAACAAACAGAAGTCCATTGGACTGTTATGAGAACAACAAACAGAAGTCCATCAGAAGAGGAGATCAAAAAGGTGGCACCCTTCACAATAGACAAACACAAATTGAAATAACTAGGGATATATATATATATATACCTGACTAAAAGAACAAAAGATCTATATGGGGAAAACTACAGAATATTATTACAAGAAACCAAGAGCGACCTCAACAAATGGAAGAATATCCCATGCTCGTGGATTAGAACACGCAATATAGTCAAGATGTCAGTTCTGCCAAAGGCATTATATAACTTTAATGCAATCCAGATACAATTACCCTCATCTGTCTTCAAAGAAATGGAAAACTGATTACCAACTTCATATGGAGAGGGAAGAAGCCCAGAATTAGCAGAGAACTCCTCAAGAAGAAG